GCTTGCTATTGGGTCACTCATAATTGCTCTTCTGTATGAGTAAGGGACGAATGTTGGCGATGTGAAGGAGCCTCGGGCGCCCCGGAAGAAGGTTCTTTAACCACTTGCTACTTACACTCGTGCGATAGACCGCAACCGTTAATTCCGCGACTTCTCTGGTGCGACTCTCCGAACTTTATTAAAGCCAATTAAACCGGCGACACGAACTTGGAGCGAACAGTTGCGCCGATGGTATGTACCGTAAATGCAAACTCACAATTTGTCGACCCGGCACACCTAATCTCACAGGATATCCGTCGTAATTTCCCCGTACATGATGCACGAAGTCGGTCGGCGCTTCCGAAAGTTCGTTAAGGATATATGGACCATTTACTTATACTACTGCTATGCTGGCTTGACAAAAGCTTGAGGAGCGAACGTTCTAATTGTTTCCACTTAATCGGAAAGGGTGATAATATATTTTCTCTCTTATCAGATCTATATACAATATGCAGTTAAACAGATAATTTAGTAATTATTAAAGACTGAAAGAATTATATTTAATTTACATCTATTGATGAATAATATAAAATGAAATGAGATATAAAAATGGCTTAAAAAGATATTCTCGCTTTCAGTATTCTCTTTTAGGATTTCTATTGGAAAAAGTATAAAAGCTATAAATTTAAAACTTGATACATTTATTCTTTGATACTTTAATGTTCCTCACACATTTTTTCAAACATTATAAAAGATTTTTTTTGATAATTATTTGTAAATCTGTATGATATACATGTAAAAAATGCCGCTTCATGTTTACTATAATTTAAGATATAAAAATTATCTGAAATAAAAAATTCAAAAAATTCTTAATCTTTGTATAACCAAGTTAAAAAAATTGTTTTTTGTAAACATGACCAAGTTTTGAAAAAAATTTGATTTTTTTACTGTTCCCCGAGCTTCTTCTTTAACGGAAAAATTGAAGAGTTGGAATTTTTATTTGATTGTATGTCGGACGAAAGAGAAAAAATGTGAAAATCTCCTAAAAATTTGTTTCAATCGGATTAAAACTACACGAGTTATCGTGGCAATAGTGAGCTTGTTGTTTTTTTGACATGTCCATATAGATTTACAATAGCCAAAAAAATCTTTTGTTTGAAAAAATTTATAAAAAATATTTAAATATCAAAAGAATAAATGTACCAAATTTCAAGTTTGTAGCTTATATATTTTTCCCAAATAAAATTCCTAAAATAGGATATAAAAATGAAGCAAAAATATTTCTTGTAATAGAAAGTACGATACATACTTTTAATATGTGGTACACATATGGTTTTAGTAGTTTAAATAGTTGCTTCACTAATACTTTCTGAATATGAGATAAAAAATTGCGAAGAGAAATGAATCGTTAAATAGAATGAATTGATATTTCGAACAACGAATTTAAAGCTAATGTGGATGGAATTAAATTAAAAATTAATTCAATCGTCAAATATAACTGAATTGCAATAGAAAAGGTCAAATGACTATAAGTAATAAAGATAGAAGAGAAAGGAAATAGAAAAATTCTATAAGAAAGAAAGTACGTCTGTTTAAAAAAAATTCTATGGGAATTGCGATAGAAAAATCAATAAAGAATAAGGGAAAATGGGACAAGTGAACAAAAAGAGCATAAGCGATCTGGAGCTACAGAATGGAGATTTCAGAATAAAAGCGAACCATTGTATTGCGATGCAGTAGCGCAAATCATAGACGATCGTCGAAAACTCGAAACCTCATTCGTAATAGGAGCGCAATTCGCAAGCCTGACATGTATAAGATTTCACTCGGATTACGATTTCGATCCCGTGAACTAATAAATAGCGAGATGACTAACGACTGAATGGTCGGTACTTTAGCCATTGTAACACTGGATTTATCTGACCCATTTTCATCTTATATGTTAATTTTGATTGTAATCTCCGTAATATTCTGTACATACATATCTCTATCTTCTTCTCCGTAGATTCGCATCTATTATTACCATTTGGCAATAGTTTTCAACCGAGAATAAATCATTCTTTTGAAAGCATTTCGTAAGAGACCGGAAGACGTATTAAAGACATCGCCAAGCGCTCGCTGGTCGCAAACGCACGAGTGCATTCATCCGCTTGAATATCCAACCTAACCGTGCCTGGCGCAAAAATCGCCACTGGCGTTATGCCGGGTCAACGGCGTGAGGCGAAAGATACGCGATGAAGGAGCTCGAGGCACGGAGCACATACGGACGACATGGGAAATAAGAATGTGATAGAAGATCGCGATAGAGGACGGACAACAGTTCGAGGAACGACGAAAAGAACGAAAGAAGCGTAAGAACCAGGACGAAGAATAAGACCGAAGTACAGTGTTAGTCGGTAGTATGGCCGGGGTGAAACGGCGAATAGCGCCTCGTGAGCGTGGGTGGCCGGGGGGAAAGGACGGGGGGGAGGATGAGACTAAGGGGTGAGGGTTCGCACGAGGGGGAGGTAAAGGGGGAGAGCTGGTGGATTTTGCGAGAGTCGCGCGAAGGGGCCGGGGGTGGCGCCGCGGGCCGCGCCGTCGCCCAGCATCCCTCGTTTCCACCCGCCCACTCTTGTAAAGGCGCACCCTCACGCCGAGAGTATCTGGTAGTCATACGCTGGCCCGTTGCGAGCCCGCTGATGTAGCTGCTGCTGTTCTCGCTTTCAGTGATTTGCGTCCACGTTATATGCGTTACGCAGTGTACGACCGCGTGTGCTGATTAGATCGAAGTGTGTGAAGAATCTGACGGTAGAAATTGTTCTCGCCGTCGCTCCGTTTGCTCAACGTCTTATTCGTCGTAAAACAAATGCGAAAGGTGCGAAAGGCTTATCAATTTTCGTGATTGTTTTCTTCAAAAAACGATCGAGTGTACATCCTCGGAGCTTGGCAGGATAACGGTACAGTTGAAGTGATCGTAATAGTCGTCAAGACTGAAACGTTTAATGTCTCGGTGTATCTTAATAGCTATAATAGCCACCGGGTTAGCTCACATGGTCCATGTTTTGTTTCTGTGATTACTTCGCCGTGGCTCCCTCTCGACCGCTTCCGTTCACGGCAACGAGCTGCCATCGTGTCTAAAGCGCGCGCTTTAGCGACCTCGTGTGTGAGGCCAGCGTGTACGACGCGACACGGGTAGATTCTGCTGACGTGGGATGCTCGGACAACGGCGGTGCTTTCAGTGAGATGCTTGCCGATAGACGTGGCCGTAGTAGCTGTAGGATCATTGACACGATCCCTGAACCCCTGATCAACAACCTGGCTGTCAATTACAGCGGGACCGCGTTAACGTCCAACGTCTCGAGCGACTTTCATTCGGATGAAATCGTGTGATTGACATTATCCCGAACGGTCGTTGCAGTAGTATCGAGGACTAGTGCTTCGTATTGCGTTCTCCATCATTTCCTCTGTCTCCGCTTCTAGCCACGAATCAGAATATCTACGAGTAGAAATGCAACGTCATTGACGTTAAATCGACGGCACAACCGACCATTCACCGTTACCTTCAGACGTGTAAAGTCCATTTAACGGCTTCACGATCGTTTACAACATAAAGCTTTTTGTGTGAAGGAAGTAGTAGAATAGAAACTGAGAGAGTCAGAGAAAAAAAGACTTTACTGTTCTAAACAAGAGATCCTTTACTCCTCGGAAGATCGGTGTTAGGTTTTTTACAAGACTGCTCGAGACGCTCAAAAACTTACGGAAATTGAGCGGAGAAATGGATACGTTCTTGATTATCGGCATCTGCTTCTTCTGTTATGAGATGTGCGATTTAATCAGACGGTATACCGCCCCGCAGGCGATAGAAACGCATTGCCCGGCGGAAACGGTCACCAAGACACTACCCCCGCAGAAGATATATTCGATTTCTCGCAAGATTCAAGGACCCCGCGCCTGTTGCCCGCAATAAATCGTCGCGCGTTTGATTCCGGATATTTAATTCTATCTAAAGTCGTCTAACATCTGTTAGGGTGGGAAAGCGAGCCTCTTTGTGTGGATTACGGCGAAGGATCTTCGCTGAACCTCAAGCGGATATGGAACTGCGCCGGGCCGAGTCGGAGCAAATGGATGGCCATGCGAGATGGATTTACAGTTCCGCGCAGTGATAACAGACGCCCGTCTCGGAGATTCATGATGTTTACGGAGGTTCGAGGTAGCGACGCGATCGATAATGATTTGTCAGCTGTTACGCCACCTGGAACGCAGACCAACGGATCGATCAGTTCTTAGGTGACGAGTTCGTAGACGTGGTACGACCAAGAACGGCAATTCGCGATTAGTGTCGGTGAACGGGTCGCTTCATTCATAAATGTTTCGAACGAGATAATGCGCAAGATTGTGAATCGATATACACGATGGATAGAATCCGTCGGACGGTTTCGCCCGTAGAAAACAAAACGATTTGCTGACGAGATTTGTTAGTTATTACCAATAATTTTTTTTATTCAATTCGCGTATTTATGCGATTCGAGTAGCGACAATGCGAGTTTACTCGATTTGTCTGCGGATGTATAAAACCGATGGCAAGTTTCACTCGAGCGGTACTAGATGATGCAATATGTACGGTGCTGTTGACGCAAAACATGAAAAGCAAGAGATAGATTGTCGTTAGGTGCGTCTGAGAGACCCGGTAAGTGATATCGATTGAGACGGTGGATAGCTCGCTACGAAAGTGAGGGAAAAGCAAACTCGCTTGACGAACTCTTCAGTACGTGCCTGTGAATGCAAACTTTAGTGTTAGATGCCGAACATCGTCGATGCACCAAACCGCGTCATATAAACAAGAAGTGAAGTTTCTTTTGTGTATATCAGTTAAACGTGGTCGTGAATAGTGATGCATTATTCCTCCGAATATAGTACGCATCGTGCCGGTACGTTCAAAGAGAGACGAAGAGGAGTAGTAACATCGTTTATACATCGTGATTGTATATGTTCACTGCCCGTAACTCAAACTTAACGCCCGCGGTCGTATCGAAAAGTTTCTGTAGGAAGTAACTTCACGGTTGGTGCAACGTCAAAATGTTTTGACGCAAAAATGCTTTGTTGAGATCGGAAGAGAAGAGGGAAGGATTGATATAACTCAAAGTGTGTTAACAAGGAAAATTAGACTGCAGCGCTGTTATTTTGCAGTTACACCTGCAAAGGTCCAATTTACCTTTAACAAAAGCGCGTTAAATAAATAAAATATGCTCACAGTTGCGTTGCCAGTGAAATTTCTTTCCGGAACAGAAGTGGTACTCGCACTGTTTTTTAGTTACACGTTTAATAAAAAAGATTTAACAACATCAAAAAGCACCGTAAATTAAATTGCTGCGATGTGTTTTTTAATACCATATAATGTGATTCACGATGCATGCATCAAAACACTTTTCAACCGATTGTGAGTGTGTTTCTGATCAACCAAAGTGGGATTTCTCATACTTGAAAATTTAGTGCGAGAGCGCGAGGCAAGATTCGTTCATCAACGACGAAGGAGGGAAGGGCCATGACAAATGTTCGATACCAGCTACAAAGTTCGGTGCCCCAACGCCACGACGCTTTCACGACCGCTTTTTGGCCGATAGCCCGAGAGAGATCGAAACGAGAAATTATCGAAAATTAGAAGAGATGGACTCGCTGGAGCGTCTAATGAGTTCCCGTTCTCACCATCCGGCTCTCACGGCAGCCACGCGATCGCAGAATGCCTTTGTACAGGCTAATCTCTGTTCCGTGATAGGCCGCAAAGGGCGACACCTCAACGGAACTTTTTGTTTAACCGGGGATACGATGGAAGGCATCATACAGTGTCTGGTCTTCCTCAAAGCTTTTTCGGTAAGAAATTCATATCCGTATCTTCTCTATGCTCATGTATTCGCTCGTATTGCTCGTATTCATTGAATTATTGATTTAACCTTATAATAAGATATCGAGAGAGAGAGAGAGAGAGAGAAAGAGAGAAGAAATCTTCCTTCTCCAGATACTTTGTTACTTTTGTGATTGTATATCAAAATCTTAGAAGAGAATAACACATTATATGATATATGTCTATAAAACATATTTATAAAAAATATATATATATAATATATAAAGGAAGAAGATAATGTTGAAATATGTTCATAAAATTTAGAATAATGTTAATAAAATTATATGCGCGATATACTGATTATCTTTTAACTACCACGGGGTAAAGTAAGAATGAATGATTATTCGCTTAAAATGGCTAACGTAAAAACGACGGTTCTTACACTGATACCAACGACAATGAGTTATTCCAGCAGTTAATTCCCGTATGTTATCTCGTTAGACACGTTTAAAGAATACCATGATTCATTTGTCGCGCGCCGAGAGAGATTTAGATATCTTTATCAAGTGTCGACTGTGTTAACTAGCAATTAAGACTTTTTTTGCTTTTGCTAATCTTCTTTTTTGCTTTCGGGATGCCTTTGTTTCGCGTTCGTGCTGCACTTAGAAGATTGCTTTCTTTTTGGTACAGTAAATTGAGGTGCACTTTGTAATCCATTTCATTTTCCATATGCAACTGTAGCAATGTGGTACGCATATGCATTGCGTTTGTACAAGTACGCCCGCGAGAGTACATAAAAGCGGGAGAGTATTTCGAAAGTTCTTACGATGTGATTTGCTCTTCACCGCTGAAACGAGGAGACAATAAGTAGCTAATTACATTTAATAAAATATTATGATAATTCACATTATGAAGTACTAAAGTAATTCAATAGACCGTTTTCCATAATTCAAGCGTTCAGTGCATTACCCGCGATTCATTATTATATCGACCAAGCTGTTACCATATTTTATCCGCGAGACGTACCTACAATTCCGGATCAACTTAATTACATTTTGGAAATTTCCATACTCAATGTCATAAATACATATATATCTTGAGTTTCAAAGCAGCGATTATTATATAGAGAACTATTTTGAGTTAAGTTACATGCTGTACAATATAACGTATATACTATGTAATGTATATATTATGTTATAGCAACGCACTATACATTTATGCACGTAATATTCATTATGCGAGAGAAAGACATGCCTCCGAAAAAGTGAATAAACTTTTATCTAATTAATATATTTCCAAATAATAAAGTACTTTACATACCTGTATTTTCTCTTGTGCAAGAAAAAACCAGATAAAGAAATGTACTGAAGCTAAATTATCAATAAGAATTCGGCATCGATCAATTATCGTTACTATTGTTTCTATTGTAAAAGCTTTGAATTTGCATTAATAATTACTATTAAGTAAAAAATAATTTTTAAAAAATTCTACATTTGTGTACTATCGCTAAAATTTATCAAGTAATATGTTTATCAAACAGAAAATTACAAAGTTAAGATGTAGAAGCTATGTATGTTTTTCCTATTGTGCACTGTGAAAGAAATGTTTAGCTGTGTAGTAAGTCGTCTATTTCCTTAGTCAACAAGACTTTTATTTTTTTTCTTTTATTTTTTCTTTTTTTCTTTTCTTTGTTTAAAAGAGTACGCTGCTTTAACGAGAAGAAATGTAGGGATAATAAGCGAACGGAAATATTACGCAGGTATTAAAAATGCTTACATTCAGAACTATAAACATTTATTCTCTAATTAGAAAATAAATAGAACTGTGAGAAATTAATAAATAAGTCACAACATTAAAATGTTTGAAGTTAGCAGTTATTACGTGAAAATAAACTTGCTTTTTGAAAGATTAACATGCATTCTACGAGAAGCGTAAAATAGACTTGTCCATTTTACGCTGTTCGTAGAATACATGTTACTTTTTTGTGTATTTGAATCGTCGATAGGTGCTTCATAAAAAGTTTCGATCAGGTTGTCTATGTTACGCTCTATGTTGCTGATCGTTAATCGACGCTATGAATTTTTCAACGGATGTTATAAGTCAATGTTACGATGAAGCAGTTTCCATCAAATCGATCTCGATATCGCCTTTCTGCTACGTAAGATTTTTACCTCAAAAGCAAGCCTCGGCAGCATTGAAAGACGAGCATGCACTTTCTTGAAGCAATAAAGCCTCGATGTTGTTTTCAAGTTGCGCATCGATACTTAGGGCAAAAAGCTAGCGTCTCAAGAGAAATTTAAACTCGGAATTGCGAAAGGAATTGAGCTTTCCTTTGACCAAACTCTCCGATGAATTGGCGCACGGCCGAGTGTACAGAACGTCCTGCTTAGTATCGTCTCATCAATCTCAGCGTAATTTAATTTGTGAGTGTATTCGTCCTCGTTAAAGCATGCGCGTCTTATAGAACCATTGATCGGTTGCAGAAATTAAAAAATGAAAATAAACGTCAAATTATGAACTCATTAGTGATGGGCGTATACCGAATTATTCATATACACATCCAAATTGTGTATATATATATCAAAAAGCAGGAAAAAAAGTTGTATAAACATAGGTCCGGAAATAAGTCGTTTCCGAGTTATAATCACTTTTATTAAAAAAATTGTTATTTATTCTTCATAATCACAATTGTAATTTATTTCATAGTGTTTTAACATAAATAACTACATTTCGGACTATTTTGGCGTTAACCAGGATGTGCACCACATCCGCTTGGCATCCTTCTTTTTTTATTTCTTTATTTTTAAATTTTCTTACTTTACTAGAGAGATGCCAAGCGTAGAGGACTATACCTCTACGTTGTCATTTGCTTAATGCTATTGTTCAAAATGTTGGCCTCTGAAACAATATACGTATTGCATTTTATACGGACAGCTCGTGTTGCAGCCAAACACTGATCTGGTCAATGTAATTACTCGCCGATCCGGCACTCTATTGTCTGGAAATCGGCGCGCATACTCTCGCACTGTTTCTGAAGGCTAGCATTATCGCTAAAATCATACACGAAAATAATAATATTCCACTTTTTGGTGAAAATATTTTTGTTTGTTTACATTTCTGCCTTTCTCCTATAAATTCATCGGTTATATTCATCAGAAACCATCGAGTGAATTACACCTGTTACAATATGCCCGCGTACACATTCTAACGTTGAATATGCTAACATGATTTTCGTGTATGCTTTCTGTGACGGTAACACAGGAGGCGATGCGAGAATATGCGCGTCGATTTCCAAACAGGAAAGTGCTGAGTCGGCGAGTCATTATATTGAATTTTAATAAGCTACGACAGATCAGCTCGTTTTTAATTCATCAAGACCCGTTAAGAGAAAATTTGCAAGTAGAAAAATGAAATGAAAAATGAATAAGTACAAAAATGAAAATTACGTTTTATCTTTTTTTTGTGATTTTCTCCAAAACGAAGCAGAAACGAGAATATCTTTAAAGGACGAGAATATAAATTCTCTATACTCCCGAAGTTTGGCCATTTAAATTCGGGACACCTTCTATATATAATATACATATATATATAAATTACATCGACTTTATATATTCGAAACTCCATATAATTTTTTATTTTGTAATTTGAGAATATCAGAAATGTATAGAGTCGTTTGTTCCGCGCACCGAAACGAACAGATAATTTTGTAGCGCAGTTGCGGCAGATTAAGCCTGAATACCTTCTATGCCATACGAATCATTAATCAAACGCTTTTTGCGAGTCCATTCGACTGTTATACGCGGCTGCTGGTAGATACGCGCGGATGCAGGCGTAAAAATTTACAACGCACCGAGGATAGACACCCCTTCCCCCCTTCCCCCGTTTATTCACCACGGTGTTGCTTACAGCAATAACGTGATGATAATTCATTTTTTTTGCTCGGGACTTATCGCTCGTCAGGGAAATCTTTGGGGTATACATATATAATCTTATATAATCCTCGTCATCGTTGTCGTTGTTATTGACATCGTCGATGACGTGGTTGATGCAAAGGCCAAGTGGATGACATTCTTCGTTTCCATCGCACGTCCAAGATGAAGGGCGCGTCGAGGATGATGATAACATCTCTATGAGGGTGCCTATGAATTTTTATCCGACCCGCCCGCGGCTAAGGGCTCACGAGAGAACGGAGAATTGCTGTGAACTTTTAAAAAAAAAACTTACCCGGCCGCGAAGATAAAAGTTATCGGAGGCATTGCACCGTAACGAGGAAATCTTCACGATTTCATCCGATCAACGAGAAGGGCTCGATCAAAGGGATGTTATCAAGAGAAAGGGACTTTCTTCATCTATGACCGCACAAGGAATTTTCTTGGTGATGCGAGGAATCTTTGTTATAAGATTGTCTTCAGATTTAATTTATAATAAAATGACATAATTTTTTAACACAAAATATATAATTAAGATTAAAACATGGAAATAAATATATGATTATCATTATTAATTTTATTTCATTTCTTTTGCAAACTTTATGTTTGGTTATACTAAACCTGTAGTAATTTTATTGAAAATCAATAATGCAAAATGAAATTTAATTATCTATATTTTGCTTTATTCGTTTGAAGTATTACAATATATATTTTATTGTAAATATTAAGTTAACATTTAGTTTACATGTAAATTTACTTTACATTTAATTTTACATTATATCGATATAAGTAGAATAAATCATATATTTATATAAATTATTATTTATAATGAACATAGTAATTATTATCTTATTTAGTAGGTACGATTTGGATACAAGTAATAAATTCTTTATGTCTTCCATTTACCATAGTCACTCGTATTATTTATTATGATATTTTTCACGATACTAAGCATTATGATACGAAAGCGTCTATGATTGATAGTAGGCTATACATATATTGTACAAACTGAAATATTTCGTTTGTTTTGCAAAAATTTTCACATATGCGAAATCGCTGTTCGCGGTACAATTCCGAATCCTCATATTGCGACATATCGT